GAAAGAAAGAAAGAAAGAAAGAAAGAAAGAAAGAAAGAAAGAAAGAAGGAAAGAGCATATTTCACAATGTGCTTCTATGGGTAGTCCTTGACTTACAACAGTTTCCTTTAGGGACTAAAGTCACAACTGCACTGAAAAAAGGGACTTATGATTGTTTTCCACCCTTACAACTGTTGCAGCCATCCCCGCGATCCAAATATCAGAGGCTTGGCAACTGGCATGTACTTATGCCGGTTGCAACATCCTGATTCTCCGTTTGTGACCTCACAGTCCATGGGGTAGGTAGCCGGATTCGCTTAACAACGGTGGCAAGAAAGGTGGTAAAAGGGCATAATATTTACCAAACAACTGCCATGCTCAGCAATGGAAGTTTCTGGCTCAATTGCCGTCGTAAGTGGAGGGCCGTCAGGATCAAAGTTTGGCTGATGAGTGGGACAGAAAGCCCTGGGGCCTGGCGAATGGGAGTGGGGGGGGGGCATTTTTGATGGCTGGGATTAAACTGTTTTGGGAGATTTATTTATAAGTTTGTGTGAAAGATGCTCTCTAATCGGGTACAAAATCCAGAAACGAAGGATGAAATTGCATGTAATATTTTTGGACCTGGGAGGCAAAAACTTGGAACCGTTTTGTCACTTGAATTCAGCCCAAAATTCCTCTCCGGGGTCAAATGATGGAGAGAATGTCCGGTCCTGCCAAATTCACATCAAAATTTGGCTGGGCCAAACACTTGTTTGGCCAACCCTACAAGGCTGTCGAAGGCCACTCATCCAGCCTCCGAGGGAATTCGCATTTGCAAAAAAACCTCGCTTATAAAATCAGCAGCGAGCAAATACACCGGCCTTCTCCAAAAATAAGGCTCAGAATTAATTAAATTAAAAATAAGATTCATAATTCTGTATTCAATTATGATTGTAAGGATCCTCGCATCAAACAGCGTGGAGAAATCTTAGCACATTTTTTATGGGGATCTATACAGAAGAACAAAGGAACAGACTTTAATAATGTTTAGTAAAATGATTGTGGCTTAAAAAGAGACATTCCTTCATCACTCCTTATCCCCCAATCCTCTCCCACTTGTGACTGTATGACTGTAGCTTTGTTGATTGTATCCTAATGATTTTTCATTGACTGTTTCCTAGTATGATTTGATTCCTTTTTGTACCCTGTGACTCTCATTAAGTGTTGGACCTGATGATTCTTGACTCTTGACCAATGTCTCTTTTCTTTTATGTACACTGAGAGCATTTGCACCAAAGACAGATTCCTTGTGTGTCCAGTCACACTTGGCCAATATTCTTTCTTTCTTTCTTTCTTTCTTTCTTTCTTTCTTTCTTTCTTTCTTTCTTTCTTTCTTTCTTTCTTTCTTTCTATCTATCTATCTATCTATCTATCTATCTATCTATCATCTATCATCTATCTTCTATCCATCCTCTCTCTCTCATCTATTATCTCTCTCTCTTTATCTCCTATCTATCTATCTATCTATCTATCTATCTATCTATCTATCTATCTATCTGAGTACAAGAAAACAACCAAGCTCAATGAGCATCAAAGACCCCTCAATCCTCCTGCTCCTGCTGTTCCTCCTCCTCCTCCTCCTCCTCCCCACAAACCTTCCAGCCTTGATGACATTCCCTAGTTGGGTAATAAAATGTCTGCAAGCAAACAATCAAGTTCAGAGAGCACTAAGGACCCCACAGTCTTTCTCCTGCTCCTCCTCTTCCTCCTCCTCTTCCCCCTCCTCCCTGCAAACCCCACTCCTTCTACAACTGATGGTATTCTCTAGTTGGGTCATACCCAATGACTATCACTAAGTGTTGTACCTCTTGACCCTTGAAGAATGTATCTTTTATTTTATGTACACTGAGAGTATTTGCACCAAGACAAATTCCTTGTGTGTCCAATCACACTTGGCCAATAAAGAATTCAATTCAATTCAATTCAATTCTATTCTATTCTATTCTATTCTATTCTATTCTATTCTATTCTATTTCTAATTCTAATTCTAATCTATTCTATTCTATTCTATTCTATTCTATTCTATTCTATTCTCTATTCTAGTCTATTTCTATTCTATTCTTATTGTGCCCCATGACTATTATTAAGTGTTGCACCTTGACTTCAACATCCAGAATTCCCAAACCAACATGATAGACAACAACTCCCTGAATCCTTCTGGCCAGCATGGGGTGGACTTCCACTCCCAGAATCCTCCAGCCAACAGGTGTAAATTTGAACACCTAGAGTGGATCAAACTCCCAGATATCCCTGGAGGGACTTCAACTCCCAGAATTCCTCAATCAACATGGCCAGGTTCAACTCCCAGAATCCCCTGGCCAGCATGGGGGTCAAAGTTGGCTGTTGTAAGTTGAGAAATACCTGCACAAAGCTGTCGGGGGATCAATTCTACTCTACATGGCTGCCATCTTGACTTTTTCGACCACCCGGAGCATACCCACCCCGCAAAGCATCCGTAACGGGCCAGTCGGGCTCCCTCTGCCCCTCCCAGCCGGCAATTACCTTCCAGCGACGTCGCATGACGTATTTCCGGAGGAGAACCTGAGATTTGAGGCGCCGGTTGACCCGCTTGGCTTTTTCGGCCAGGTTGTTCAGCCAGGGATGCTGGAGGCACTGAGCTGCACTCATCCGCCCACTGGGACAAAGAGGGAGGAAAGGGAGGAGGAGGAAGAAAAGAAGACATTAGAGCGGGTGTCAGCAACTGGCAGCTCTGGAGCTACATGCGGCTCTTTGGGCCCACTGTTCTGACCAAGGCTTCCTGAGACCGTAATTAAGCACACGTTTCCTCCAAACAACTCTCTTTTTATTTCAACGCTGGGAATTATGTGGATTCCCAGCCTGTAAGGAGTCCCAAATAGTGCCTCGAGATAAGCACCCACCTTTCTCTCCTTTGAATTGTTGCCAACCGCTCAAGTGCCAAATTAACTGTAAAAAAACCCTACTGAAATACAAAGTCCGCACGGATCTTCAAGGTTGAATCTGAACAGAGCAAACGACTTTGCTTCCTGCAAAGGTTTCTATACCTTAGCACTTCTTTTATACCTTTTGGGAGGGGCAATCACCTCCAAGCCTTACTTCCGAATCCCCCCTTTTGTTTCAGCTGCTTTCACCTTCTAGCAGCTCTCTGCATACACGCCCTGGGAACAGGCTCCCCTTGTTCCTCTGCCTCGCTGCTGCCAGACTCCAGAGGCTGCGGAGGCAGCACCCCACTCCCAGATGGTCCTGGCCCCATCTCTGCATCAGGTGCAGGACTCTTGTCTGAGTCCTTCCCAGACTCCCAGTTTGGTCCCCTTTCTTCCCCACTGTCCGATTCCGCTGCCGCCTGCACCGGCTGCCGGCGAACCGCAACACCCTCTACTGTGGCTCCCTGTTGGGTGATCCCACCGATGGCTGGCCCCGCCCCTCACCCTCACCTCCTAGTCACTCCTCACCTGGCCTGAGAGAGGAAAGGATGGAGGGACGGAGAGAGAGAGAGAGAGAGAGAGAGAACCACAAAACCTGGGTAGGCGTGGCCGGAGGTGGGTGGGTCACGTTACTGGGTGGGAATGACGCCAAGTTGGCAACGCCCACCCAGGTTTTGGGGCTCCCGGTGTTTTCTTTTGGGTGGGAAACAGATCCAAATGACTCTTTATGTTGTTGAAGGTTGACGAACCCCCCGGGATTAAAGGCAGTCCTCGACTTAACCATGGTTCGTTTAGTGACGATTCAAAGCACTGGAAAAAGGGACCGTTTTCCAGAGTTACCACCTTTGCGGTGTCCGCCTGGCCGGGGGTGGGTGGGAATCAAAACTATAACGCTTGGCAACTGGCCTGTACTTACGACGGTGGAGGAGGTGTCCCGGGGTCGTGGGATCCCATTGGGCGACCTCGTGACGAGCAAAGTCGAGGGAGGGCGCCCAATATCCCTTCAACAACCGTGTTTCCAACTTAGCCATTGCAATGATTTTGCTTAACAACGCTGGCCAGAAAGGTCGTAGAACGGGACATTCACCAATCTCTTGCTTAACCAGGGAAATGTCGGGTGTGGGGGTGTTTAATTGTGGTTGTAAGCCGCCGGTGCCAGCCTCCGGCGAGACAAAACCAGCATCTCAACAGCATTGCAGATGGCAAGGGAGTTTCCCAGGATTTCACGCAGCTAGCTGCACAGCGGGCATTGCTCCCTTCGTTATCTCCTGGCGCTTCTCTATGGTATCATAGATACCATATGGTATCATAGGTGGCCCTTCCGGTTATTTTAAAGCAGGTTTAAAGCCGCCAGGACGTTAGTAAAAACGGAGCGTCACTTTTTGAGACATAACTTTTGAGTACATTGATTCTATGTTTGGTCTAGTGGTTAGGGCACCAGGCAAGGAGGTGGGAGATGGTGAGTTCTAGTCCCATCTTAAACACGAAAGACAGCTGGGTGACTTTGGAGCCAATCCCCAGGAGACAGTGAGTTCTAGTCCTGCCTTAGGCATGAAAGCTGATTGGGTGACTTTGGGCCAATCACTAGGTGACTGTGAGTTCTAGTTCCATCCTAAACATGAAAGTCAGCTGGATGACTTGGGGGCCAATCATTAGGAGACTGTGACTTCTAGTCCCACCTTAAACACGAAAGAAAGCTGGGTGACGGGGCCAATCACTAGGTGACTGTGAGTTCTAGTCCCGCCTTAGGCATGAAAGCTGATTGGGTGATGTTGGGTCAATCACTAGGTGACTGTGAGTTCTAGTCCCATCTTAAACATGAAAGCTGATTGGGTGACGTTGGGTCAATCACTAGGTGACTGTGAATTCTAGTTCCATCCTAAACACAAAAGTCAGCTGGATGACTTGGGGGCCAATCACTAGGTGACTGTGAGTTCTAGTCCCACCTCAGGCATGAAAG